TCGCTATCATATTGTAGGACTTTTGTCGAAGAATGATGGGGGGGGGGGATTATCCAATTCGCATGAGGAGCCTATTATCATTATCACATGACCTAGGTGACGTCCCTTAAAAAAACGGGTTCTGGCTAAGAGTTTCACTCCTCGTCGGGTGGGAATGAATAGAAAGCACAGCTGGTAGACAGATGAAATAAAACATACTGTCTAAAATATATAAAACGATAATAAATCATTAATAATGAAATCCTCATGATAATTAATGAGTGACATTCTAAATGACATTGAGAATGGGACACCTCTGGCTGTCCCGGTCAGTATGAGATAAACCATTTGACTGTAACCATTACATAAACATTTAGTAAACACCGCCCTGCAGTTCCGAACTGGTAGTTCAGTTTAAGACACAACCTTGCCTTGTTCCAGCGACGCCACAGATAGGTTTAGAGGAAACCGAAATCAGAGACAACTTCCGTAGAGGTTATTCAGTCGGGTTTATATATACACACGTCCAAGGTCATCGTGGCACGTTATAGAAGATAGGCAACCATTTAAGACTAAATTATGAAACAAAGGGCTATTTAACAGCAAATAACAATACAGAGATGAAGAAAAGCAGGTTCCGAAAACTCACAACATGAACATTTTAGAAGTTAACAACAGTTGAAAAAAAAAAATCGTTAACAAGCTCATTAAGATAGTAATAGTAGGCTTAAATTAGCAAGTAAAGTTATTAATCAAATCAAGTGACGTTCGTAGTAGGTCCCCCCCCCCCCCCCCTAAAAAAAATATTCAAAGTTACATAAAAGAGTCATTGAGATTACATCGATTATGAAAATGAAATTAAGGACTAAAGTAAATTTAAAAAGACGCTAAAAACTCTTAATAAAAAAAATGATGCTCCAAAAGCTTAGTTAAATATACGCTAATTCCGTAAACTCAATCCAACGTAATGAATAATAATTTTTCTTTCTTTCTTTCCCCTGATTATAATTACATTCCTTGTTAGATTGTCGTCCATTTTCAACGACAGTAGTGAGAGAGAGAGAGAGAGAGAGAGAGGAGAGAGAGAGAGCGAGAGAGAGACGAGGAGATCAGAGAGGGAGAGAGGAGGAGAGAGCAGAGAAGAGAGAGAGTGAGAGAGAGAGAGAGAAGAAAGAGAGAGAGGAGAGAGAGAGAGTGGGAGGGGGGTAACTGAAACAACGATACTTAATGAGAGGGGACTTTCCATACACTAATTCAGTAATTTATCTCGATAGGCAAGAAGTCATCAGCAAAGTGATTATAAGCGTAATTACAGCTCAAATTTACAACAAGGTTGGTCAGTCCATTCACCTATCAATCTGAATAATTTTAAATCTTTAATTTAGCAGGTATTGACGTCGGAAGTCTCGATTAAAAAAGACGCATATCTTATGAGGAAGTATAGTGTAGACCATAGCTGGCTTTTCAATTTCATCTTTATCATTATTTGCATAATCTTCTTCACATATCTGATATCTTTAATACCCTCAGTGTCCGCTATTACATATCATTGTCATTACTTTATAACCCTACGTCAAAAAGTTTAATATTCCTAATCCTCTCTTCATCACTATCATTATTGCTGTTATTCATACAATTGTCATTGCATTCAGGTAGAATATATTCATCGT